CACGCACACCCACATCTCAGGACTTTCCCCCGCCAGGAAAACCATCAAGCCTTTAAACTGAGGCTCAAGGACCCTCCAAGGTTTCTTAAACTGCTGGTTTTTGACCCACCCGGTCACAAGAGGGAGAGGGCAGAGCTGGGGGCACCCATCAGTGCCGACGCTGGCGCCTGGGCGATGGCTCGCTGGAGCCGTGATGCTCCCGGGGACAATTGTCCCCCGCTGCGGTGCCTGGGGCTGAGCTGCCCCTTGCAGCAGGACAAGGACAAGCAGCGTCCCCAGGGCTGCCGGAGATGCCCAACGGGGTGCGTGAGGGCGGTGGATATGGGGACGGAGGAGAAGGGTCGGGGACGGCACCAACCTTCTTCTTCTCAGAGAGGTCATTCCACATGCGGGCCAGGAGCCGGGTCAGCTCGCTCTCTGACAGCTCCGGCCGCTCCTCCTGCAGCTGCTTCCGCTTCTCCTCCGAGAAGATGAACATGGCGGAGATGGGCCGTTTGGGCTTCTCTGAGCTCGCCTGTGGGAGAGACATGGGGCTGTGGGTGGGGGTGAGCACACAGAGGGACCTGCCTTGCACTGGCAGCCTCCAACCCCAGGAAAAACACGGTGAAAGAACCAGGGAATGAAGCCCTCAAAGCACCCTGAGGTGCCAGCAACCCCATCCCATGTCTCTGGCTCGTGCATTTCCAGTTGCTGCTCTCACCTTGCCCGTCTCTGGTGAGGACTTTTTGGATGCAGGACTCGTCGCCCCTTTCCGGTTGCTGCCCAGCATCTTCTCCTCACCTAGCACCCGCTGCTGCTCCTCCTCGGGCAGGCTCTGGGTGGCACGGAAGAGAGACAGGGTTAAGACGGCCCAACACTAACGAGGCTTTGATGCAATTAGGGAATAGGGACACTGGGGAGGGGGGAACTAATGCACTCGGTTGTCCTGATCCAAAAGCCGCCCCAGCCAGGGCCAGTATCAGGCACTGCAAGCCTGGGTGCACAGCCTGGGGGTCCCCATGCCTGTGTCACCCCCCTCGCTGGGCAACACCCCTCTTCCCCAGCTCTGTCCCCTCCCTGGCTCAGTCTCATCTGCTTCCTCTCCGCAAAGGAAGGGCGGGCAGGTGCCCGGATCCAGGTGCACCCCTGGGTTTTCCACTCCCTGCCCTTGCAGCCGCAGCCACAGCCGCAGCCACGTCACGTCCGCCCAGAGACTGAGCACGATGCTGGGACGGCCTCGCTGCAGCTCCCCCCGCCTACGCCCCGGCCGAGGGAAGGAAGCGAGAAACTCGCTGCCTCCTGCACAGCCGCAGCCACTTGACAGCAACCCCTCCTCCGGCACCAGCCCTCCGCTCACCCCCGGCTTCCTCTCCCGGCTGGGGGGGCCGATCCCCACCTCCCAGTGCCCAACTGGAAGACACTGGGTCAGGCATTAGGGCAGCTGGGGAAGGGTCAAGACTATGTGCAAACAGCTCCGCACAAGCACCCAGGGCTGGGTCCAGCCACGTTTTGGGGAGAGCAGAGAGGGCAGCATCAGTGCAGTCCCTGTTTAACCCATGTCGGTCCTGGCCAGGGCTCCCTCCCTGCGTTCGGGGTCTCCAGCACCTGATGGCCAAGGCACCCCCACATCACTCACCTCCAGGAAGCGGAGGAGCTCAATCTCGTAGTCTTTCTTTTTCTGGAGGGAGAGGGAGACGTGCAGTTACAGAGAGATCTCCTGCCCCATCCCTGCCTTGTGCAGTCCCCGACCCAGCCTCAGCCCCCTCGGCGACAGCATCCTCCACCCGGACCATCTGCTGGTCCCACACGCATGGACGGGGAGACAGAGGACCAAGGGAGGTGACTGAGGACCTCAGGGGGAACTGGTGATCACGACGACAAGAACAGGCACTGAGGAAGGGTGAGGGGCTCGTTTCCAGCAAGATTTGTACCCCAAGCTCTCCCACCCTACTCCTCCCTCCCCACAACACCGGTGCCCATCTGCCTGTCCACCCGTCTGCCCATCCTCAGTCGCTCACCTGATCACACTTTTTGTGGTACGCATCCTTTTCCTTCTGGGAGAGCAGTTTCCACTGCTGGCTGCACAGCACCATCCGCTCGGTGCTGGGCACGTCTTTCATGTTGGCCATCAGCTCTGCACAGTACAGGGAGTAGCTATTCCTGCAACCGACGGAGGGACCCAGCATTAGGGACAACCTGCCCCGCTCACGTCCCCTCTGCGGAGCTGGCTGCATGCTAAGAGCCCCCCGAGACCCCCCAGCTGCCCTCTGGGTTGCACCAGGCAGTGAAGTGCTGTGCCAGAGGTGTCTGCATTTCAGGGAAGCTAGGGGCTGGATTACCCCCTAACCCGGAGCACCCAGCATCACCATAAACCTCACTCAGATTCTCTGCAAATGTGTATTTCATGTATATTTAAGGAGCAGTTTAATGGGCTCATCGACAGCCCATGCCCACGGTCCCAGAAATGATTGGGGCTCTCAAAGCCCGGCAGAGCCCCGGTTCCCTCATTAGCAAGAACCAGCGCCCGCCCAAGCTGCCCAAGAGCCTGAAGCGATAGCTCAGAGAGGGGCACATCCTTCGCACGCAGACGGGGAGGGACAGGACTCACGGAGGTGGCTTTGTGGGTCGCCCATCGAACTTGTCCTTCAGCTGGCGCTCAGCCTTGGTGAGGGTGGAGCGGGTGATGCCCTCCTCGCTGATGTTCAGCTCGGGGTGCTTCTGGATGTAGTCACGCATGATCTCCTGCAAAGGAAGGAGAGCGGTCAGGAGAGGGGCTCCGATCCCCGCCTGGCTGGGGGCCAGAGGAGGAGGAAAGAGAAGCCAACCATTTCCCTAATCATCTCCCCAGGGGTACTTCTCCCTTCCCCGAATGCTGCTGGAGGAGGCAGGGCTCAGACTTGCTAGGGACCTGCAGGGATCTGGCTGAACCCCCACGCTGGCTAT